GTAACATTTTAAATTTGTTAAATGAACAAATTTAAAGTTTTGGATTAAAGAGCAACTAAACGTTAATTTAATAGTTTTTTTAGGTAATCCTAAAAATTTCAGTAGTTGATTCAACAAATTCCAGCTATTAAATCAAAGTACGATAAACATTTTAATTCAAAATATTAGTTTATGTTAAATTAATATTTAAACTGTCAAATGAACAAATAAACTTTGACAAACTCTGACTTTTGCTTTAACACCAAAATATAGATTAATCCAATAGGTTTTTTGTTGAAACAACATTTTTAAAAATGACATTTAGGCAAATGTTAACTCAACTACATTATTTTTTTCGGTGTAGTGGGTATGTACCAGGTAGTGGTTTCCATGCGCAGTGGGTACCAAATTAAAAAAACAAATATCGTCAAAATTCGAAAAATAATTACTATAGTTAATATTAACAGCTCAAATCTTCAGTGAGTCATTATTATAATGTAGAGAATAATTCCACAAAATTTTAAAAGAATTCTGAAGGGGTCCCCCCAAAAAAAAATTATTTGTTGAAATGACCCAAATTACTTAATTGGAGCATATTACACACGAGATAATATACTATTTTACTAACAAATTACTACTCATTACTACCACTTTTTATTTTGAATTGTTAATTGACTATATTGAAAAGTAATATTTTAGAATATTCAGTACGTAGGTATCAAACATATAACACCTTTTGACGTTTACTTGAAAACTCGAAACGTCAAAGCTAAACAAACAAAGTCTATAGACCAGGGATCGCGAACCTTTAATTTAAGATCCACGTGTCATTTTTTCTATAGAAATGTTTAATGATTAATTATTAAAAAAAACTAAATACTATCAATATAATAAGATATTCACGAGAAAGCGATTTTCCGAAAATTTTAATTATTTTCTGAAAATTTTTTGTAATTGGTAAGATAAATATAAAAATCTAACGTGGAATGATAAATCTAACATTATTTCTAGGGGGACAAATTTTAATGTACGTTTCATGAAAAAATTAAGTACATTTAGTGAAAAAACAATAATGTTTTTTTTACAATTATTGTAAATCAACGAGAAATGCGCTCAAAGTGATTCTCTCCATCTTCCGTTGTTCACAATGGCAACTGTCAAAATGACAGGTGTCAAAATGGCGGCAGTGCGGAAATAACAGCTATAAAAATTAGTGATGATAAAATGACAGGTGCCCCAATGACAGCTGTCAAAAATAAGTTGTAAAAATAACTGGTGATAAAATGACAGGGGCCCAAATAACAGCTATCAAAATGACAGGAGCCCAAATAAAACTGTCAAAATGACAGGTGCCGAAATGAGCTGTCAAAATGACCGTTTGCTGAAAAAACGTTATCCGAGCAAAGCCGCAAGTATACAGCTATTAAATAAATTACCATTTGCTCCATGAGACCCACAAAAAAGTTGATTAAACAATTTTTTTTGTTCTTCTCTTAATTTACCTAGTTTAAAAAACTGACCAACAGATTTATGAGAAAATTACAGTATCTTATTAAGAATTAAAAGACCTTTAAAACGATATCACTTAAACACCCGTGCAATTTAAGATTTTGGGGGCGGGTGGGGTAGAGCGCGTAGGGGTGCGGGTGGGTTCGTACAATAAAATGTCTCCCTTTACAAATAAAAATTGACGTGCCACATTCACCCTTTAAAACGTTTGGGAGGATACGTTTTCGTTCGTTCGGACCGGTCCATGGACCGTGGACCGGACCGTTTTTGGCGGTCCACACTGTCAATGTTCCAAAACGGACCGGTTCAGTCGAACCTATTTTTGCTGGACCGGTCCAACACAAACGGTCCACAAACGGTCCGGTTACATGGACCTTTTTTGGAACTGAACCGCTGGCGAACCGGTCCATGGACCGAAATTTTGTTACGGTTCACAACCCTGCTTTAAACTATTAATTTTAAGTAAATTCCAAATTTTTTCAACATTAAAATAATTTTCTTCCATGTCAAAAACGAAAATAAAAAGTTGTTTAACCCCTGAATTTTTAAACGTTATCTTTGTATTTTCTAATAAATCCCCTTTCTCCTCAATACCTAAACATACTTAAAAAAAAACCTCCACCGTCTATACCCAATTTTAAAACATATTCTTTAGTAATTTTTCTTTTAACTAATACATAACTTATAAGGGCAGGAAGATTATCGCAAAATACAACAGACCTGGAAATTAGTTCTTTCTTGTTTCTAAAGTTGATGTCTATACATTGAAATAAATTGTTTAATTTATATAAATGGTTAATTTTGACTTCAAATTTGGCACAATAATTTAATTTTTGAGTATTTTTTTAAGATTCTTGCAACTTTTAAAGTTTTATTGGTGCTTAAATCAATTAACTGTTGTATTTTTGAAAATGAAGTGGAAGAAAAAACTGTACCTATTATTTTCGGAAGCACTGGATTCAAGTTTGACTTTCGGTAGTAAAGATTTAACATTTTCCATTTTTTTTTCATTTTGTACACTGATGTGGCTTTTCCTTTCCTATTATTGTCAAGCATTTTCCACAACAACTATATTTTTATTTTTTGATTTAAATGATACTTTACTTCGTACTTGATTGTTGATTGTACAAATCTTACAATAGCAACTTTCCATTACATTTATTTGTGGCATTTGATAAATTGAAACATTTAATTCTTTTTTCTCGCCATTTTCAATTTTTTTCAATTTTGCTCGACAGGTAAGGCATAAACTGCATCCAATTTTTTTTATTGTTTACATCAAATTTTTTGTTTAAATTATATTGTATTACTTTTTCTTGGCTTTTATTTACTTTTCTTATTTCACTTTTTCCTTATTTATAAAAAAATAAGACACACGCTTTCTTGCCTCTTCATGTTTTACCATTATTATTTACCAATATGATTAAGGGACGATATTTTTGAATATGACAGTCTGCGTTGTTTGACAGCTGATATTAAACGCGTTGACGACTATCATAATGACAGTTTGTTTATTTAATTAGTATAACTACTATTACTATTATTACTATATAGGGTCATTGTAACTATGGATATATCCATGGTTACAATGACCTTTTCTTATATATAGTAAATTTAAAAGTAAACTACGTACACGTCATCAATCAGCTGATCGGACACGGTTGTCAATGTGATGCTAAAATCCTTGCATCAAGGGAAAGTGGTAGTGCAACTACAGGGCGATAGATGGCGTTTACATGAATAATACCAAAATGTCAAAAGTCTGAGTTTTTATAACCTATATGATGCACCGCCAAAAGTATGTTTTTAGCCATTTTTAAAGACATTTTCTGATATAAAACCCAAAAATTTTTCCATCTAAAGTCAGTCTCTGGTATGGGTATATATTATTATTTTATGTATCCAACATATATTTTGTTAAATATTCTAATATATAATTAATAATAATCCTATTTACCTCTCTAACAGCTGTTAAAGGTAACAAAGGTCCATTATTATCCCGTTCTGTCTCAAACTATTTAAATGCTTCGGCATTTTAAATATAGGAAACACAAAAAAAAGATATATAACAAACACAAAAACGGCAATGAAAACTTAAACGATATAAAATAACACAAACAACAAACAAAATAAACGAAATAATACACGAATTAAACGAAATATTCAAAAACACAACTGACAGCTTCGAAATTCTAAAACGTCAAATTCTTTTTTATGTGTCATTTAAATATGAAATATTTGAATGTAAATATGACAACATCTTAATTGTTGCCAACTGAAGATGTTTAAAATGCATTCAAATATTCAATTACAGACTTCGATTTAGTCATTTAGTGTTGGTACCAATGCGTAAAATTTTTGTTTTATTCATGACTTGTACGTAGTTTACTTTTAAATTTACTATAGCTTGATTAATTTGTAATTTATAATAAACAAGTTTCTAAAGTGTAGCAAAGTTACAATGTCCATATATCACAACCATCTTTTATAGTGAGGCTAATAAAATAATCTTTAAAAATAAATTAGTCAAAAATGACTAGGGAAAAGCAGTAACTAATAATTCTCATCAACAGCAATTTGTATTCCGGACATTTAACAGTCAATTCCTATGTAAAATTGTCCGCTTTTAAAAGTAAAATACAATTTCAAAGTAAAGTCAATTTTTTCATATAATATGGAGTTGACATTCAGGGGAAAAAATTATTTTACATAAGAATTGGCTAATAAACCTACTTATATTTTAAAACCATGTATATTCTCAACCTTTTTATATAAAAGCTTTTATTGTTTTAATTAAAATTTAACTGTTATTTAGCACCTAATTAAATATAATTAAACTGATTAAAAAAGAAAATTTGGTTTTGGTTTATTGAATTTTTCATTAAAACACGCTTTTAATACAGTTTATATTGTATGTAAATAATATTTATTTTGCAAAACTAAAAGTCTTAATAAAAAATCTCGAATATAATAAAATATAAGTTTCAGGCAAAAAAAAATATTAAAACCTGACAAAGTTGTTTATTTTTATTATTTGATCTAGGATTATAATATATTAAGATATCGCGTGTTAACAATAATACTACACTTCTAATAAAAATTAATACTAGGCAATAAACTTTATTCTAGTAAAAGATAAATTAAAGGTAATAAAATTGTCCATAAAAATGCTCCCTGACCATAAAACAAAATAAAAATGTGGTTTTCTAGTAAAATCTTGGTACGAATTTAAACTGTCCCAAGAAAGAATTATAGACAATATACCCAAGATAAAAAATAAAATATGAGTCCCATCTTTAAAGGGTCTTTCTTTTATAACGCATTCTTGGAAACTTTTTTTATACTTTTTGTATAATATAGTATGTTTTTTCGGTTAAGGATTTACATTTTATGTTTCTTAACCTATTAGAAATAAAAAAATTATTTTTTTCTAGAGGAGTCTTGATGTTATTACAATGGAAAAGTATAAATTTTTATACATATAAAATTAAATATTCTTATAAAAAACATACCTTTTATTTGATTTATCTGCTGAGTAATTTCCAATCAATGAGGTCCAATTTCTCAGACCATCTTCTTTGTCAAACTCGATATCTTTATTGGTTACAGACTGGTCGAAGGAAGGGAATCCACTGCTTTGCCTAAATAACAGATAAATTATAACTTTAATTATAATAATATAAATATTTTTACTATTATTACCCTATTAGGTAATATATGCAAAAAAAGTGGATTATTTTTAAGAATGATTTTAACAAATTTGACAATGCAGCTTTAAACAATGAAAAATAATATAAAAATTGTTTAAATAAATAAACTATTACAAAAAATTAATATTACGTGTTTCGGAATTTATTTATATTAGTTCTAGTTTTAAAGATTTACTTATTGTTAAAAAATTAAAAAAATGAAAATACAATTCTATAACAAAACGTGCTTGGGCAATAACTAAAAATTATTAAAAAATTTCGCACTACGTAGTACTGCGGTAATAAACATTTAAAAAAAATCAGCACGCCCCTTTTTCACTGTGGCGCGAGTTCTGGGACACCCTTATACAAATAATGATAAGAATATCCACAAGTATTCAAAATAAAAAGATATTTTGTAAATACCTGTCATCATCTAAGCCGCTGCCCTGACTATAATCATAATCCATCATCAGATCGTCGCTAGCAATGCTTTCGCAAGGCGACAAGGTGTCCAAAGACCCCGTCCTGCTGTGCAGGAACTTCTTGCTCCTCGTCATCAGCGGGCTGCCCTCGAATCCTGCTGGATTTCGCCTGCGTCGCACCTTGGCGGACGACTCGACCATGGTCAGTGTAAGGGTGTTCTCGGAGATGCTGACGCTCATCGCGTCGTTTTGCTGCTGCAACTGAATGTTGTCTTCGAAAACGAGGGCCGGCTGATCGGCGATCTCGTCGTCGATTAGGAAGTCGTCCTTGCCTTCGGAAAGGGATAAGGAGTTCGAAGCGTTGGTTGGGGTTCCGGGACTGTTGGCTGGCGATAAAGTTTCGTCGTCCAAAAGAGTACCTAAAATTAGATTATTTTTTTATTATTATGAGTGTTCGATATTTTTTTCAGGTGTATGTAAGATTTTTTTATAATTTTAAATACTTTTAGGGATAATTGTGATTTCAAATTAATGCCATCCGGTTTTGCATAACTAAAAAAAAGGTTTTTACAATTTTTTTTATATATTTTACTGTTTTGTTGCAATAAACGTTCAAACTTTTAATCTAACCTTTGACGTATACATTTATGTTCCCTTAATTAATATATTATTAAAGGTTGCCATGAAACTTAGATCTATTAAAAATTTATTTGATGTTTGAATTGTCATTTTCAGTATACGTATTCTATAATTTTTGTTTAGTTTTTTAAAGTGTTTTTTATAAACAAAAATGAAAAATTGTAGTAAAAGTTACGAAAAAATTCATGAAATTTAACTAAGAACCGGTTTATTCATCTTTAGTAAAGTTTATCGGGCCGATAACTTTCATGTCTTGGCAATATCTAGTATCCAAAGAAATTATTCGTCAAATAAATCAAAAATGAATAAATCGGCCCTAAATAAAATGTGGCACCCTTAGAATTATTGTTTAATAAATTTATACTATACATTTAACCTTAAATTAAAACTTTAAACGTGTATTACAACAAAACAGTAAAAGATATAAAAAATGTATAGACCTTTTTTGTAGGAAATTAACTAATCTTTAATCTGATTTAAAAAGTTATGATAATATTTAAATAAAATCGCAAGTTTTAATTGGAGAATTGAAAGTGTACATACATATTTTTAATAAACATCAAATTAAAACAAAATTAACCGTCAATTTTTTTTTTATTTTGCTCTTAAAATTTTAGTTATGACCTAATTAACAAGAATATAAAAAAAATTTGGTTTAACAGAAAGTCCAAAAATCACCTCTCAGAACAGCACCGTGTATATGGTTTAATATGCAATTTTCGTTTAAATATATATACATTTTAAAATGGAATTCCATATTCAACCATATAGGGAAACCTATATGGAAAGACACATAAAACAGAAACCAGATAAATCCATATAAAAATCCCTAAGTTGTACATTTTAAAATAAAATTCCATATTAAACCATATAGATTCCAAAGTGTAAACCAGGTCGTTCCATATAGGACATATGAGTACCTTAGATGCAAAACTCGGTTTTTGCAAATTAAAAAATAAAATAAAATTGACTTTAAATTCTGTTTAGTGTTCGTCCTAGATAAATGGCGTTTATAAAACTTGATACATAATAATATATATAATATAATATTATTATGTATCAAGTTTTATGAACGCCATTTATCTAGGACGAACACTAAACAGAATTTAAAGTCAATTTTATTTTATTTTTTAATTTGCAAAAACCGAGTTTTGCATCTAAGGTACTCATATAGAACCATATAAATCCATATTAGTTTCCTTATCTGGATCAATATGGGTTCTATAGGGCATTATTAATAGGGAAACTCGAATCATATATTTGCTCAAGAATAACATTGCTTGAACAGTTATTGTACTGACACTGTATCTGACTTATATGCCTTAATATATTTCCTGTTGTATTTTATTTTCTTATGTTTTTTACTGTTTAAACTGTATTTTATTTTATTTATTAAGAAATTGTGACTAGTCGTTTTTTATATATTTTTGTATCTATAATAGACCGCACAAACTGTTCTGTACTGATTGTGATAACTGAAATATTTCATAAATTTGAATTTGAATTACTGAAAAAACTACTCGAAGAAACTTTTGTAAATATTTTATAATTTATTATAACCTATTTGAGTTAAGATTTTAGATATATCTTTATTTTAATAATTTTTTGCCAAAAAAGTATAAAAGTAATGGTAAAATCCAAATCAATCGCCGCGGCCGGCCGCAACAAAAAAAAATTAACGATATATCTGCCTTTGGATATATCTAATGGTATATATAAAGCTTATTTCTTCCCCTAAATTTTAATATACAGTATGTCTCAGTATCTTGGAATCATATGGAAAACTTTTTTATTATTAATTTTAAGAAAAAAAGTTATTCTTCATAAAAAGTTCTGCATGGTGTAAAACTTAAAAGGCAACCCACAAATATTAATTTTATTTAGTCGTATACGAGGTATGTCAAAAAATATGAATTTGGCGCAAGAGTAAAGTACCTTTATATTTGACAATATTGAAAATTGTTATAAATGAAAGTTAATCAGAACTAAAAACTACGTTTAAATATGTAATTTCATATATTTACATTAAAAAATTAGGTTTTGTTAATTTTTACTAATCTTTCTATTTTAAATGAACATTTATCTGTTATGATTAGAAAAAACATGAAAACCTTAAGTTAAGTCAGGGGATCTAGCAGGCCAAAAAGTATTAGAATATCAACAAATCATTTGTTTATCAGTGAATCCTAGATTACATGTTACAGTTAAATTTGCATTGATATTGTAGACAAAAAAGAAAAAATTTTTTTTTAATGTAAATGGATGTAATTGCATATTTGAACGTAGTTTTTAGTTCTGATTAACTTTTCTTTATAAAAATTTTCGATATTGTCAAATATAAAGGTACTTTACTCTTGAGCCAAATTCATATTTTTTGACATACCCCGTAAACGACTAAAAAAAAATATTATTTGTGGGTTGCATTTTAAGTTTTACACCATGCAGAACTTTTTATGAAGAATAACTTTTTTTTCTAAAATTAATAATAAAAAAGTTTTCCATATGATTCCAAGATACTGAGACATACTGTATATTGTGTAAATATTAAAATAGGATCTCGACATTTAGTTGAAAAGGGGTTAAAGCTTGCAGGAACCGTACGTCGAGCAGCGTGCTCATAAGCGCTCATAAATGCTCATAAGCCCTCATAAATGCTCAGCATTTAGCAGTTAGAAACGATAAAATATAAATTTTATAAAAAAAATATTGAAAAAAAATTCTAACAAAATAGTGGTAAATAAACCATTTTGTAATTAGATAAACCTGCACCACTTTTGTGACCTGCACATGTTCTGATATAAACAGTAGTTATTTCAAATAACTTATTTGTTGGTTAATTTATAACCCCGCTTTTTAGTTTTGGCGCCAAATTCAAATATCGAGCACTTTGGTAAAGGCTCGAGCATTTATTTATGCTTGAGCATTTATAAGCACTTATGAGCGCTTTTGAAAGTGCTTATCCTTCTCTAGTTATATTTATTTTAAGAATGTTTTAGAAAAACGGTAGCCATATTCCAGATTTAAGTAACCATTCTATATTTGAGTAACGTAACATTTTGTTATATTGATTTTTGTAGAATTTTAATGTTAATTAATAATAAAAAATATAATACTAGGTATTAAAAAGTGATGGTTAAATGTATGACCAATAACAAATACAATGTATTTAATTATTGAACTGATTTTGATTTTTTTTTTTAACCGAAATGGTATTCCTTGAATAATATTCCCTATTTCGCCACTACTCTAATTATTGCAAAAAAATGCTTTTAGTTCTCACGTCATAAATGAATTCATTGAAAGTAGAGTAAATGTTAAGGTGGATTTAACCAGCATTTAATGTAACGTAATTTAATGTAACGTAATGTTATGTAAAGTTGGCCAACTTTTAACTTTCTTAAATTATGTTAGATGAAAATGAATCTGCGCTTACGCGGTGTAATACCAAACTTGTTTACAACAAAATTTGCCTCGAATGTTTAAGGTTAGTTATATTGTTTTGTGCTTAAAAGTTAAGATAATTATTAAGGTTAGTTATATTGTTTTGTTCTTAAAATCTTTGTATTATTCTTAAAAGTAAAGATAATTATCATTCAGTCAACCACAGTCTTGCCAAAATCGGTTTCAAAAAACACCATGTACTATATGGCACAATTTTTCTTAAATTACATAAAATTACGTATTTTATGTAATTTAAGAGTTTAAGCCTTATTAACAATAATTTGTTAATCAGGCTTAAACTCAAAAAAAAAATATTCTTAGTACAAGAGTGAAATAAGTATAGAAATACCATAGAATAGTGAGAGTTAGGGGATTTGTGACGTCACAAATAAAGACATTTTAAAAATAAATCAAAAACATGGCAATATTCTTACCGTTGGTACTTGCAGCAGCAATCTGTTCAAACTTGCTATCCTCCAAATTCAACACGATGTTTTTTGCGTCTGATTTAACTGATGCATTTGCACTCTTCAACAAAGCCTGAACAAAACCTGGCGATGTAATTTGATGTACTTTTTCCTTTGATTCGTCACTGGAGCTCAACGAAAAACTAATTTCGTCCGCCATCGCCTCACCGCCGTTTAACCACTCTTGGTCCGATGATGGCGGGCTGGAATCATCTTTTATATTTTTCATTTCTCTCACAGCAGGTCTGGATTTAAGGAATGTTTTGTTTGGGGATGAAACAGTTGGCTTAATAAACGGTTTTTCATTACGGTAACAGTCTTTGTAATTCTTTTCTTCCTCTCCATAGTCGTCACTAAAACCTTCTGAAGAGGTTATCGAAATTTTGCGCCTGTTTCTCTCGTACTCCATAGTGCGTTCTCGAACTATACCGGTCATTTGATATGCACTAAAATAAAGACAAACAACAATTGTTAACTATTAAAACTAACCAAAATATTTAGTTATACAAAAAATATGGGTTACATGCAAAATATTAAAGAAAACCTATTCCTAAATTCAGATATTGAAGGAGCAGTCTATAATTAATTAATAACGAGCATAATCCAGAAATAGATTTTTGAACGCTTAGGTCCCTAATCTCGGAGCGCGTTTATATATTTATATATATTATTATTAGCACAAACAAGTTATTCCTAAATACTTTTTATTTTTTTATATAAATCTATTTCATAATAAGTAAAATCCTTGTATTTTCTTATTGCCTGGCAATGCTTTCCAGAAAATTGTTTGGCATTGTTTTTGTGATGATTTTAAATAATATCTTGTATCAAGAGCTTTTTAATGATACCAAATACTTGTGGTTTAGTCATTAATTTGTTTAGGTATACACTGCCGTTAAATATATAAAGTAGTGTCTCGTTTTTTTTGTGCTAAGCAGTAATATGCTAACCTACATTGTTAACACATTGTTAACACATTTTTGCCAAGCAACATAAACGAGATATGTATTTTCAACGGCGACATGTAAACGTTTCTTTAACTACCCTATAAACAGGTTATAAAAAAATCACAGTTTACTAGGTAACCATACCCTGGTATAAAATAAAAATAAAATAAAAATAAAAGGCTTTGTTATCTATGGTATAAAATAACGTTATAAAAAAATCACAGTTTACTAGGTAACCATACCCTGGTATAAAATAAAAATAAAATAAAAATAAAAGGCTTTGTTATCTATGGTATAAAATAACGTTTCTTCAACAAATTACTGACGTTAGCAATTTGTATAGATTATTGTTGGAAACCTAACGTTAGAAATTTGTTTTATTAATTAATAGAAACTAAACATTAGTTATATAATACAAACACATACTATTATCTCTACAATTACCTAACGTTACCTATTGGAATAATTTTTTGTTGGTTTATCCAAATTTTATGGAAATTGCATATTTTAGATTATAAACTTTTTCACTATAAAAATATGTTTTCGGACTTAAAATTTTCAAACGTTGTTTGAAAGTGGGATTTATATTTGGAGAGAATTATAATTAATATTATTTATGATGTTTTATTTTTTAAAAATAAATATTTTAGATTATTTTTGATTTTATAAGAAATACTTTTTTCTACTTCCACCTTTAAAACTCCCATTATCGTACATGTTTCCATGAGACTAACTGATCTTTTAAATACACATTGAAAAGCTATGGAATTATGGCGCTTTAGTCACTGTAAAAAACTGCTTCTGATAAAGATTTAAACGGTTGTTAGTATATTTTCAGGGGTTAAATTTCGCTTTACACAGACAAATTTGACATTTGCCGCCGATAATACAGATTCCCAGTTAGTTACTCTATTTTGTATAGATGTCGGTCTATAAAAATATTTAATTTAAATCATTTTTAGATAATAATAAGTATTTGTCGTAGAGAAAGTATAGTAGGCAACTCGTTTATAAACTTTTCCAAACACTCATTTAGTTAAGCACTCACTCGCATGCTCGCTTGCTAAATTAAATTCGAGTCTAAAATGGCGTTTATCAAACTTGATACCTACATAATATATTTATAAAAAAAATATTAGCACAAAAAATATGTTTTCAGACTTAAAATTATCAAACGTTAAAAATTTGTATAATTTTTTGTTAGTTTATCTAAATTTTACTGAAATTAAAAAAAAATCATTAAAAAAAATGTTTCCGGCTTGGATTTATCGAACGTGTGATTTGTGTGGTGAAAGATAACGGTCAAATTTTTGATAACTTTTAAAAATCCATTTTGTGGTTTATTTTATAACAAATTAATAGGTAGTATAAAAATAGGTTTTTGAACTTGGACAGGAAATAATGTTAATAAAACGTAAATTAACAAGACTTTATATTTTTTGAACTATTTCCAAATATTAGTACTGAAGCATATAAGTTATTTACATTTTCTTAAAGCATATAAAATTATCTAACATTTGGTATTAACATTTTTTTAATTGGGTAAAAAATAACAAATATACAGACTTTCAAAATTGCTATTAATTTTTAAAAGAATTAAAATTAAATTAAAATTAATTGACTCTATATTTTATTGATTATCTCGAAAAATTAGTACTGGTGCATATCAAGTTTTTTACTTTTTCTATATGTATAGTATATGAAAGTCTCTAACATATTTTTTTAATTGGGTAAAAAATAACAAAACTACAAAGTGAGAATTAATTAAAAAAAAATCTAAAATTGACTTGACTTTATATATTGGTAATAATCTCGAAAAATTAAAAACTGGGGCATGTTAAGTTATTTCAAAAATTTTAAAGTGTACAAAATTATGTGACATTTGATATATAAAGTTCGTACTTAATAACGGGTTTTAAATTTAAAACTTAACCTGTTCCTATGACTACAGAACGCCCAGACCAAGTGTAGAACATACAGAACAAAATGTTTTGTGCGTTTAATCTTTTGAGGTTAGGATTCAAGCCAAATTCCATAATAATTCGCACGCGAAATTTAAAATCGGTCAAATTTGAAATTCCGTTGGTTACTTATGATTGTGACAGTCATTTATGGTCAATTATGATGGTCATTTATGAAAGTGACACCTAACTCTATACCTTTTCCGACCTCATAATCAGAATTGTCTGGTAATTCAAAACTTCTAACCCAAAAGAAGAAAAACCGCGTTTTAACAAAATTACGAAATTACGAAATATTTTTTTATAGAAATCATTATATCATATAAAAGTACTAATTAAGTTTTTCCAATATATTTTCTCCTTTCCGAGAAATCGTTTCTTGAAATTTATGATCTAAACGAGGAATTAAATTTTTACCAAAACCAAACATACATTTTAACAATCGATTTCTCGAGTTTTTTGGAAAAAAATAATGCCTTGTAACCAATTTGTAACGAACGGGGAAAGGAAGCATGTTTAAGTATAGTGTCTTCAATAATGTTGATTTTGTAGGATTATTTCCTTATTGCCTTTTAAATAAAATTATATTCAACAAATCGAAATTTATTTTTGTCATTGGTCGAAATACTAGAAATACTAGAAATAATAAAAAGAGAAAAAGGGAAAAATACCTTCGGTTGTTGTCCATGGTGTTAAAAGCACTAGGTAGCTTCGGAATGGGCAAAATACTCTGATTAGAATCGCTTCTATCCCTCACATTAAACGTATTATTACTTGTGGAAACCATCTCCAATGTTCTGGGCTTAGCAGGAAACCTTCTCTTCAATATCGGAGACGATTCCAGCCGCTCCAGCTCCTGCCCGGTATCATTATCCCCCATGTAGCCGCTAAAGTGGCTACCCAAACCAGAGTCTTCTGTTAAAGAACCGTCTTTTGAGGAGGTTTCATCGGCGTGACGGTACATAGCCACCTTACGATTATTGTTGGCTAAAGTTTTGGCTGATTTCGTCTCGATGAGTCGGATGGGCTCTGGGCGGGGTAACTGAGTGGATTGAAGGGTAAATCTTCCGGTCTAAAACACAAAACTATATTTAAATATACAATTTTAAACAATAGGTAGGTACTTTGTAAACTTCTTGCTACACACACTACTTACATATAACAGAATAAAATACCATCTAAACACAGGGCAATTAAGTTTTTAATTACTTTAATTACAACCAATTATTAAGTAATATTCAATCAAATCATATAATTGACATTACGAAACATAACATAATATTTCATAAAAAACGAGAACAACGTGCTCATTGAAAAGAAAAAAGTCTACTGAATATTATTACAACTAGAGGGGGTTCACACACAGTACCTAATAGTACTGTTAATATCATATATATTATATGTATACTGGTTTAGTGGTCTTTAATTTTGAAACGTATGCTTGTTTTTAAGTATTATAACTATAAAAGAAGCAATTATAGTTGCAATAGTCGTCATTGTTTTATATATGAAGTACGCAAGGAAAAAATGTGAGAACTATATTTAAAATAATTAATTGCATTTTAGCCATAAAAATATAAAGTATATTTAAATTAAAATAATTAAATTTTATTTTTAGATCTATTGCTCTAATAAATTAATTAAACGGCAAGGCAGATTTAAACCTCTATTTCAGTTACACTTCAAGTGGTTGGTTTAAAATACTTAGTAGTAAATATACTTTGTAGTCCAATTCTCAAACGTAAATGTGCTTAGAAAAGATCGTAAAATTGTAAGCAACCCTTACTCATGTTTCGTAACCTTTAAATACCAATTAACTATTTCCTGTCTAATACACGTAAACGTAAAAATAGATAATCTTTTTGTAATTCATGTTCTAAAATAATGCTGTGCAGGAAATGCATATCATAATTATAAAGTATTTAAATAAAAGTATGATATTCGACTGTTTTAAATAATACAAATATTGCAGTAAAAATTACAAATTTTAGAATATTTTCATAGCCCTTATGACAGTTTGAGTTTGAAGAACATTCTTAACAAAACTATTAGCACTAGTTTTGGTAGAGCGATAGCTTGACAAAAAATGAAAAATCAATTTTTTACATTTGTTTAATTATTATTTGGTTATACGCTAACTGAAGAATCCGTATAGCACAAAATATGGATTCTCAATATTCCAGATTTGAGAATGTCTCCAATTATAAACGCATCTGCGCGTGAATGTGGCTTCGTCGGTAAAGATGGTATTTTTAATAAAATTAAAGTGTTCTCTTTTTTTTACCTGGATAACAAATTCAAAACCGGGGTGAACATTGAGGGCTAAACCACTTTAAAATCAGCGACGTTGTTCTCTGATGTTTCCTTATTCTACGCTTAACAAATAAGGATCCCATCCTTATTAGTAACAACATTTCTCTAAGCGACGCGTTGCTACCCTTGTGATTTTTTTCCTTAGCCGTTGATTCGTATGCGATTTATAATTTTTTTTTAATCAGTGGTTTATCCTTTGTTGAGCATTGCTTATTACAACAGTTGCTGATAAACATCCTGTACCTTCAGAAATTCTTGCTATAACCTCATCCTCTTGATAGCTACTAATTATTTTTGGGCAGAATACATTTCGGTTGGGACCAAATTTGCCGGTTTCTTCTAAGCGCTCTTAAATATTTCTAAAAGTTTTGTGATTAAGTTGAACTCTTTTGTGAGGAACCAGTTATATCGCTAATATACGTCTTGGACCAATAGCATTATCTACCAAATATGGTAAAGAAATATTACACCCTTACTGTAAGAAGGTACATTTTACAAGGTTTTGGGCTAAGAATTATTCAGTTTGAACATGACCAATTATTAATGAAACAATTCTTAATGAAACATAGGAAGCAGAAAAAAACCGTTACTAAATTTCAAAAAAGTATCAACTATGACGGGGAGAAATAGTCCCCATTATAAAGTTTTAGTAGTTTTAAGATATTTGTGACAGTATTTAGAGTATCGAATGTGGGGCACATGAGGAATATTAAAATCGCGACCATATTTTAGTATTGCGTTTAAAGATATTATTAAAATACCATATTTTAGTATTGAGTTTAAAGATATTATTAAAATAGGTAGTACTAGTTTTGCTGTAAAAAAGAGCACATTTCAAAACATTGATTGTTATGACGTGAGGAGCGTCTGGTCAAAACTAAATTAGTCCCTCTGATCAGATTTTTTTGGGGAAGCAAAAGAACTGTTTTTAAATTAAGTACATTAAATTATTGCAATATAAAGCATGTTTTTAAATCCTCTTATAATCGTGATTAAAATAGTCAGAAATTAGAATTAAAATTTAAAATCGTCTTTTTTGAACGGACATGTATGTTTATGACCAAATTGCATGTAACATGTTTGTTATTGATCGGAACCTATCAGGGTTGTTTGTTTTTGATCAGTTCTACCCAAACTCCTATTTAAAAAAAATTGTGATTTGCTTAAAATTTAAAATAAGTATAAGTAGCAATATAGTGACGAAAATTGATAAGCAACTTCAAATGAGTGGCAATTACGTTAAAATGGCTAACCACGATACAGTTGAAATATTTTCATACTATATTAGCATTATTTTAATCATGTGATTTGCACCAGCAGAAAATATTTCATAGTTTTATAACTATTTAGTGTATCAGTCTGGTATCTGAAATGTAATGAACACTTTTGACACCACCTTAAAGTTGTCTAAAGTTTAAAGTGGATTATGAATTGCCATTACTATCCATAATCCACTTTAAACAACAACCAAACCACATCACTTAAGTATTACTTGGAAGTGGTAGTAGTAGTATAGTGGGTATATCAGTTTTGGCAAACTTTTCCCAAATCTTGAATGTGACAAAACTTGATTATATAATTGCGGTGGTCACCTTTTTTCTAGATGCTTAAGTTATTTCCACATTTCGCATAAGATCACTTTAAAGTTATCATCTTCAAAAGCAGACATTTTTACAAATAGTCGTCATTGTAGGAATACTTGGGATTATTTTAATTTTAGTTATTTTTTGAAAGTTGTATGTATTCTTACATTAAAATAATTTTAGTATTTAGTGTCAGTTTAATGTCCAGATTCAGAGAAAGCAAAGATAATAAGATAAATAATATGATGGAAAGAGACGAGAACAGCAAGTAAAGTTTCGCTTAAGTTTTGGTCACTATACCTCCAAGTTATAGTAACGTAATCACAACATACCACCTGTCTGTATACAATCCAATAACGTTGTTGGAACGTAACTGACACTAAAAATGTATTCACCATTTTAGTCACTTCGTCGTTATAAAATCGTTCCTACCAAGTATAAGTGGCCGATATGTTTCATCCACTAAAAATGCTTCCTAATCAAAGTTAAAAAAAGCTTAAATTTTTTTTTAATAAAAAACGAAAACTCTGTGAGTAAATCAGTAAAATTATTTGACGTGCAAATTAATTGTGCCATTTCGATGTCAAGTCATGTCATGTCATGTCATGAATGTAGAGCTGTGATTGGTTGGTTAGACATGTTTACCTCTAATTAGTTCAGCAACCGGGGCGTTTTTTGTTTTGGTTAGATCACTTTTGGGGTGATTCCAGGCTTTATGTAACATCTAAATATTTTAAGAAAATTATTAATAACTGTTGAGTAAACCTTAAGATACTGCTTTTTTACGATTTTCAAAAAAACAAGAAAATCTAGGGGCTTGATTTAGATATATTAAAGGATAATTTTCAGGTATATTTTTTTGTATGATATACATTATATGTAGAGCAGTGAACAACTTTCAATATTTTGCGTTTAAATTTAATATTTTTGTCTAATCTTTTAAGACCATTAAACGAAATAAAATAGAAAATTGCTCTTACCTGAGGTTGTAAAAGTCCCACCCTGCAAATTCCGGCGCCCCTGTTGGAGTCGACCGCACTGCTAGGTCTGCAAATGGAAGTGGGGCGCTTAGTTGCCGTTGTTTGCTGGTTGATGTTGTTGCCAAAATCACAGGGCTGTTGTTGGCTGTTCAGATCGGCAACCTTGTTGAGCCTGTTCACCTGATTGTGCCTAAACCCGAACCGGCTCCCCTGCTTGGTGGCGTTCGCTTCTTTTTTCGGCGGTGCCAACCTTGGGGTGGTACGACCAGTTGGTACTGCGTGTTCTGTCAAAATATCAGTGTCCTAAAAACAATAATTTATTAAATAAAACTACTAGTAGTTCGATGTACATCACACAGGCAGGGCCTATTTTACCTAAAGGCCCATAAGGCCCGGGCCTTGGGCCCGGAGGAAAATGGGGACCGAAAAAAGCCCTTGAAAAAAAATTATGAACCATTTCAATTTAAATTTAAAATAAAGCCATACCTATTTTATAAAGAAAATTAAATATTAAATAAAAGTGGCTTAGATTGGTATAATAACGATATTGATATTATACCTATATAATTTTAGTTAGATTCAAAAACATAAAACATCGGTGGTCTCTTTTACGGCGTTTTTGTTTATGCTGCTATAAGTACCGACAAATCTTTTGCTGACGAATTACGAATGAAAAAGCTGCCGCTCAACGCAATCTTTATTACCGCCTAGTCCTAGTCGAAAGTATTATTGTGAATTTTATAATTTCGTTTTACAATTGCAATCGTCCGAACTCCGAAATTTAACTTAAGGTAAGTTATTATTATTAGGTAATTAATATATTATTTTTGTATATGTTACGGCTAATGTGCAAATTTGGATAGTTTATAAACTAGCCAAACTGTCAGCTATTTTAATTGAAAGTTGTTTATTTTTATTAAATATTATTTATTTTGTTCGCTGTTCCTTAGAAGCTGAGTTTTTTTTATTTTTTTGTTGTGTTATTAATTTCAGTTAGAAATTTTGTTTAAGTATCGTTTAAATATATTTTTAGTTGTTTGTACCTACTAAATAATTAATATTGTATGTTTTTTTTAAATAAATATTTATTTATTTTTTTAGATTTATTATTAGAACAATTTTTTAATTGATTAATTAAAAATTAAATTTTTTTATCATAAACCTGAAGGTGTCAAAGGTAAGTAGAAATATTCTTATTGAAAAGTTATATAGGATATTGATATGGGGGGCGAAGTTTTGCTTGGGCCTTGGGGCCCCACTAAGTCAAAAATAGGCCCTGCACACAGGGTGTGCCTAAAAGTGCTTGAGTAAAATTTAGTATACGCTAAAGAAGTATCGCTAGTAGCGCCACCACTCGGTTGTCGCAGGGCTCCGATCGCAGAACATAGGCTTGCGCAAAGCACCCCGCGACGTGGCGATTGAGCAAGGTTCTTTTGTTAGCTGGGTGCTTTGCGCAAGCTTATGTTCTGCGATCTGCGACAATTGTAGACCCGGCTTTACGAGTGTTTTTGAGAATAAAGCCGAAAAATGTTAAAAAAATATCGAAAAAAAACCGTGGCTCGATTTGTTGTGTTGTTGGGTGTATTTCGAAAGGAGATCCTGGGTTGAATTTTTACCGGTTTTCTAATAAACAGTTTTAATCTGAATGAAGAAATTAATTGCATACAGTCTCTGTAAATATAAATTGTACCTATTACAATATTATACAATAAATACACATTTTAGTAGTGATTAACGTGAAAAGTGTAAACATTTCAATTCAGTAAAAATCGTCTAAATTTAAACAGCATTTAGCATTATTAAAAGCGTTGATTAAGAAAGTCTCCACTCAACGGTAAAATACCATTATATTATGTATTATATATAATATTATGTTGCCATGAATTCGTAGGTATATTTTGTTGTTTAAAATGCAGTGGTCGGCATTTTTTTAGAGAACTCAAATATAAAAATGGTTGATTTTAAGGTTTTGTTTGTACAACAATTATTTTTTAGTAATCTCTTAAAAATGTCCAAACTTAAATATAAATTATAGGTAAAGTTATCATTAGTTAATTCTGCACCATCAAATATACTTACCGAATTGGATCCTTTGACAAAACATGAAAATGCAACGATTTAGTTTTTGAATTTTATTTACAATTAAAAACACAATAATTCACGATGATCCTGATAAAATACACACACTATCGTAACTATATAAGCGTTGAGTTTCTTAATCAATGATATAAGGAATAATCAATCGAAATCGAGTAAAAAAGTTTTTAATTTTTTTCTTGCAACGTAAAACACAAATAACGTGCGCGATTTAACTGTGGAATTGAACAAAATTTGTCGAGTAAGACTTCTGCCTTCCCCTTTTGTGAAAATATAATCTGTGCTTTAAATGTATTGTTGACAATTCTTAAATTCACTCAATGCTATCAAAGCCCACAAGATGGCGCGCGCGTTGCGAAAACCCGATACTTCTTTAGCGTATAACCTGATTTTATGATTTTAGGGGATTTTAAAAAAATTTTAGAACATTTATAAATAATACAGTTTACGGGTTTAATGCCCTGGACAGTAAAACATATGATTTTTATAACTAAATCTCTGCAAATAAAAAAATCGTTTTAATTTAAATATTTAGCACTACCTTTAATTTAGAATGTAACAAACTTGAATTTAAAATATTGATTTTTTATTCAACACTGAGAAAATAGTTCTGGTAAAAACAACAAAAATGAAATCTGTGCGAACCAAAAAATAAACATTCCAGGGGATTTTGCGAGTCGAGATAGCATAACAAAACTATAAACAATTCAATGTTTATAAATATTAATTTTTAAACTGTCAATTTTAATAAGACAGTTGCAAGCACCTGTTTTTTAAAAAATATTTTTAAATTTCAAAAGTTTTTATTTGATTTTAGTTTATGTAAAACTTTATCGCACAATTATGTTTTCATTTTAAAATATCCACTTGTGAAGCTACATTGAATAAATGAATTTTAGGAAATAAATTATAATTTAAAAAGCAAAAGAATAAACTTTTTCGATTTTTAACTCCTGCAATTTTACGAATAAGAAAAAATATTAAAGGATTTTTGCAAGGAACTTTACTTTGGTCCGGAGATTTTTGGACACCCTGTATTTTATTTTTGAACTATGTATACTTAATTTTTAATAAATTAATAATCCATTTCAGGTTTTCTTGATTATGAATGCGATACTGTTAAAATAAAAAAAATATTTTTAAATGAATAAACGGATTAAATAACAGATTAAGTTAATACGATTTATAATGTAAATTGGGCAATATAAAACCACGAACCTACTTATTAATTAAATTTATTTCTTTGTTTGTTTACCATCTAAATTAAATGAAATGTGACTTGTAACAAGATAATTAAAGATTCCTCAAATAGCCTTCTCTTCATTTTAGAAAATTGTTATTTTTAGGAATTAAAAAATGGTATAATTTTACTGTTAAAAACTGCATTTAAAGTGTGCTATTTGTTACATATATAAGAGTAAATTAAATCAATATTTTCATGATAAAAATGTAACAAAAAACGTTACTTGTAAGCAGATGTATACATGTTAAATTTAAATTAGGTTATTTCGCTTACCGTGTGCTCATTCCCATTTCCGTCGACAATATCGGCGTTGGCGAGACGTCTCGCGGCACTGGCGTTAGACGCCACCGGTGCCGTCGCAGCACGGCGCTTGAATCCGAACGACATTGCGACGCCTTTTGTGCACGCAGGTGGTCGTTTATCGGACGCTGATGCCGGCTGATCGTTGTTTTCGCCATCGGGACTCTGAAAAGAATAAGTCAAATTTTAGGAAATACATTCTAAAAAAGTCCAAATTTTGTAAAAGGTACCTAAGTTAAGTTGCAAACTAAATGTGATAAAAATGAAAGATTTGATTGAATTCGGCTTTAAAAATGCTAAAATAATACCATTATTGTAAGAACGGTTCGAGACGACCATTAATTTTACCCTCCATTGTGTCGTAAAATTAAAAATTGTTAAAAGGCGATATATTTTAAATGTAAGATGAAAAAACGGGTTTGAGATTCGCGTAAAAAATCGTATTGACTATGACTGTTATTAGAAAAAATATATAATTAGACCTTTAAATATGAATTTTTCTCAACGCCGCGGCGTGGCGAAAGTACGACTTTCGCAAAAAACTCGCATTTTCTCCACGTTGTTAAGAAAAATTCTGGCCGTAAAGCTTTTCCTGCACTCATTAAGAAATGTACTATATCTTTAATAAAAATAAAAACTATTTATCATTTGAGCTGCCAATTTTCGGACACTGTATAATACTGATTCATCAACGCCCAGACCAAACCACTAGACCTAAAAGGTTTAAATTTTGACAGTGCATTCCTATAATGGCATGAATAACCGCTAAGAATAGTACATTCTGTAACAAGTTTGGAATACAGCATATTCCGCTCGAGGAAAAATTTGACACACGAGCCGAAGGCGAGTGTGACGGTTTTACGAGAGTGGAATATGCTATTCCAAACGTGTTTCAGACATTATTTTCTCTACGACTACGCTTATATAATTTTAAACAGAGAAAAGAAACCAAGCAGTTTTTGACATTTAAGTTTTTTGTATTGTCAAACCATTTTGTGCCGTCACAATTTTATAATGTAAATTATAATAAATTTAAACAAATGGTATGCCTAAATCTTTATTATAATTAAAAATAGTTATTTACACTAACTAATAAAAAAATAACATTGTAACAAATCTATTCTTTTTCTACATTTTAAAGGTCTATTTTTAAACTTTTTGAATCTGTCAAAACTTCAAAGCCGGTATAGTAGGTAACTGGTTTATCATTTTAATATCAAATTTATTATAATTTTGATTTGTATAGGTATTTGAAAAACAATACTTAAATATAACTAATTTTTTGTGCCTAAACCTTAATTATACAACTGCCCACACGGAACAATTACATCCAATGGATATCCAATGGATTTCTTTTATGGATATCCAGGATATACATAGGATATCCGGGATATCCAATGGATAACCATTGGATATATAAATGTCCGACCCTCCTGGACATAGTGTGGATATCCAATGGATACCCAGTGGATATAGTATTGTATGCAATAAGGTTGTAATCTGTATTCAATATGGAGATTGTATGGATATCCAATGGATAACCATTGGATATATAAATGTCCGACCCTCCTGGACATAGTGTGGATATCCAATGGATACCCAGTGGATATAGTATTGTATGCAATATGGTTGTCATCTGTATTGGATATGGTGAATCAATGGATATTTACTTTTCAATAAATAACATTGGGTTTCAAAATTATTATTCTTTAATTTAAATATTTATTTTTATGAAAACATAAAATAGAACAGAAAACTACATATAACTAAAGAAGTGCTTGCCATCACTCCTCCAGCTGTCATTTGCCTTTTTATCAGCCTAATCATTTAGGGCCTATTTCACCTGTCTCCTTATGATCCCCAAAATTTGGCCAATCCATCAGCCCATTTGTTTTACATGGCACAATGACTAATGTACCATGCCCACCAACACTGACAGACAGACTGTTTCGACCTGTTGGGTCTCATCAGTGTCAGGCAGTTGGTGCCGAGAGACACGCTTCAAGCCAAGCAACCGCCCACCTATATACTAGTTGGGCGACCTGGACAGCGGCGAGATGCAGCGGCAAGGTAATATGGTGACATTTATCTTCTGTGTTCGCCGGCAGTGTTGTCAGACGTTTAAATAATTTCAGAAAGCTCATCAAAATGGCGGTTATATTATTAAATCTTTAATACTTAATTAATTAGTATACCTAGTATACCTATTTGACATAAATGTGGTGAATAATTATTTTAAATTTATTTAATTTATTTATTAAAACTTAATAAAGTACGGAAATATATTTCGTTTAGTTATTTTGCTTATAACCGACAACACTGAAGATTCTCAAATTCAGCGCGTGCGTAGTACATATATGAAATACAATAATAAACAAAAAGGACTTTTTTAAGTAATTTTTTATTGTATTGCAGACTGTCATAGTCATATTATTAACAGAAATAATATTATTAATATTGTAGCGAGTACCGCCCTGGATATCGGAGTGATGACTCATCGCCGATTAGTCATCGCCGGTGACTCAGCGCTCGAATAATCGAGAGTGTGGAGCTCGCTGGAATGTTCCAGAAGACCTTGGCGCTGAATATATAAGAAACGGAGCAGCACACGGCAGTCAGTTGAGATTTGGTACGCGCGAAGAAATAAATAAATATAAGTGCAAATAAATAAACTAGCAGTGATATAAATAATTAGTAGTTAAGTGTTTAGTTAGTTTTATAGTGTTTTAAGTGTAGTTAAGTTATTAAATAAATAGTTTAGTTCGTTAATTAACCAGTGCGTGTTTTAATTCACACTACGAACAGTTAAAAACGTTACAATATATAAATATTATTATCTGGGTAAAGTGAACATTTCAAAATTAAAAATTTCGTAGCTCTTGGCAAAAAATCAATTTAACGTAAAGTCGTTTTTTTTACATATGCTAGTTTAAACCATCACAAAATCCCACATGTATACATACAAGTATATATACAAGATATCCATATCAGTTATCCACCGGATATCCAGTGGATATCCAGTGGATATACATTAGATGTACAGTGGATATACTTTGGACATACATTAGTTATCCATTGGATATATATTAGAGATACTTTGTTGAAATTGGGTTAATAACGATTTAAATCATATTTATTAATCATTACATAAATTTATCCTATAAGGGGCTATTTTAAAAAAGAAAAAAATATTTTTAATGTTTTTGTTTTTATTTGAACATCCAGTATGGATATCCATCGGATATCCAGTGGATATCCAGTGGATATACATTAGATGTACAGTGGATATACTTTGGACATACATTAGTTATCCATTGGATATATATTAGAGATACTTTGTTGAAATTGGGTTAATAACGATTTAAATCATATTTATTAATCATTACATAAATTTATCCTATAAGGGGCTATTTTAAAAAAGAAAAAAATATTTTTAATGTTTTTGTTTTTTTTTTGAACATCCAGTATGGATATCCATTGGATATCCAGTGGATATCCAGTGGATATACATTAGATGTACAGTGGATATACTTTGGACATACATTAGTTATCCATTGGATATATATTAGAGATACTTTGTTGAAATTGGGTTAATAACGATTTAAATCATATTTATTAATCATTACATAAATTTATCCTATAAGGGGCTATTTTAAAAAAGAAAAAAATATTTTTAATGTTTTTGTTTTTTTTTGAACATCCAGTATGGATATCCATCGGATATCCAGTGGATATCCAGTGGATATACATTAGATGTACAGTGGATATACTTTGGACATACATTAGTTATCCATTGGATATATATTAGAGATACTTTGTTGAAATTGGGTTAATAACGATTTAAATCATATTTATTAATCATTACATAAATTTATCCTATAAGGGGCTATTTTAAAAAAGAAAAAAATATTTTTAATGTTTTTGTTTTTTTTTGAACATCCAGTATGGATATCCATTGGATATCCAATGGATATCGTAAAAGGCATGGATGTTATATGGACATTGGGATAGCCATTGGATATCCATTGGATAGCGTGTTCTGTGTGGGTGCTATTATTTTTTAATTAATAAATAATACAGTAATATTTAAATATTTTTAAATTTTTTACGTTTAGTAAGCAGCCAGGAGATGTCGTTACTTGTGACCATTCTTAAACAAGAGTAGGAATATTCTCGCACAGTATTGCAGAAAAACATCCATTCTATGATCAAAAATTACACTAGAATGTTACTATTCTTAAGTAGTCGTAGAGAAAGGATTTTTAAATTTTCATATCTAAGGGTGTAAATTGGGACACTGAAAAAGCGCCTTCGCCATTTTTGGTATTTAACGGCTGAACGAATTTTTCTTTGAAGGTGACTTATGTCTTGGAACAAGATGGAAATGGCACGGGAACGAGACAGAAATGAGACCAGAATAAAAATGAAAATCAAAATAGAACTAACAATGGACCACAGGAGCGAAGCCCCGAGTATTTAGCCTCTAACACCTGCATATGCATAGGTATTTAATGTAGTACGGACATTTTAATATTTATTTAATTTCTAAATTAATAAATTATTAAGATTCCTTTCGCCACTAGTCTCGATTCCAATTTATTACATACAACACTTTAATAATTTATAATATATTGTAATTATTTTACATGAGTTTTGACCAAACTAATTGGTACGTAATTTAGGACTCTATACATTGAGGGTGTCAATGCAATTTTACGTATCTCCAAAACCCTAAACTCTACAAATGTTACAGTCCCACAGCCATCTTTTATTGTTGAAACGTGGTATTTATTGTATTTTATATCTACCTGTCACACCTACTGTGTTCAACTTACCGACCAAACAGCATCGATGATTAGGTTCAGTAATATTTATTGTGCAATTAAATTAAACTTGGATCAAATAACTACTTTGTTGATGCAAACGACCCGAAGTATTTGGTGTCTTTAACAGTTGAAGGGGTTAATGGCTAAAAGTGTTAATTAATATTTCTGTGTCAAGGAAAAATGTGGTAACCTAATTTAGTTACTTACTTAGTTATCACCTTTTTGCATAATACAAACATGTTAGCTAACACGCTTAAAAACCATCAACCCCTTCAACTAACACATATTGTTAAAATATAAAAAAATTGATTTAAGGAAGCAAAAATTAAGGTATTTTAC